CGGCGAGCCCGCGAGCGAGGCGGCACAGGCTCGAGCTGGAGCCGCCGCCTCGCTCGACCTCTGCGCGCGCGGCTGAGAGCTGCAAACCGAGCGAAAGTGGAGGTTTAGAGGAAGACCGAGGGCCCGGGAGCGCGCTCCCGCCAGGGCGGCCCGGAGCGCGGCGGCACACTCGCCGGCAGGCCAGGGGCCCGGGAAGTCTCTGGCCCTGGCTCTGACTTCCAGCGACATTTGCCCCGCGACGGGCAAAACGCCAGAAATAAATGAGGAGAAAGAAACGTTGAGATCGAGGGAAGAAAGAAGCCGGGAGAGATCCCGCGCCGCACCGAGCCCCAGGATAAGTCGGGGAGGGGAGGGGCGCGAATTCCCAACCGCCCCCTGCCCTGGCCCGGGTCGGTCTCTCCCCTTATCCAGGGACAGCTAATTTGCCCGGGGTCCTTTCACTTGCACATTTCAGCACCCACGCCCAGAGTGGATATTCCCACTGATGACTCTGGCTGATAAAGCCATTATCAGGACTGACACTATCCATGCACAGTCCGGTTTCCCATAATCAGTCTCCGAAGTGCTGCTTCGGGTTGCTATTTATATTTCCCAACTACTAAAATAACGAATGCATCGTTAAAACTTGGAACTTGGAAGGGGGACAGGGAGCCGGGCCTAGTGGCATAGGCCTGTAATCCCAGCACTCTGGAAAGCTGAGGCAGGAAGATCGCAAATTCGAGCCCAGCCTGGGCAATTTAGTGACTTAGTGTGACCTTGTCTCAAACTTAAAAAAAAAAAAAAAATTAAGGGGCTGAAGATGTAGCCCAGTGCCAAGGCCCGGAATTTAATCCCCAGTGCCAAAAAAGAAAGAGGCTGGATGTGAGTCGCCATCCTCCCGCCCACATTGGGGAACCCAAGCTCTGCGGCTGCTCGGCTGCAACCCACCGACACCGGCTGCAGTTTCCTCCCTTCGTTTTCCGCGCCAGTTTTGACATCTGCCTCACGATTGGCCCGCGGGAGAGAAGGCTCCGCTCCTCCCCGGAACTTCCTTGGAAACGTCCTACGCCCGCCCGCGCTGCGCGGCCACATCTCGGGCGTGGCAGATTCTCTGCTCCCACCCCGCTGTGGACTTGGCCTCTACCCTGCGGCCGGAGCGCAAAGCGAGGCCGGGAGGAGGGTGCTTTTCCCAGAGCCGCTCTGCGCGCCAGACACTGCAGAGGGTTGGCATCCAGTACTGTGCAGGCCTATAATCCCAGCACTCTGGGAAGCTGAGGCAGGAGGATCACAAATTGGAGGCTACCTCGGAAGACCATGTCTCAAAAATAAGAACTAAGGAAACTGCCCCTGGGTATGATCCCTAGTACTGCAAAAACAGAAAAACAAACTGAAAGATTTTTTCTTTTTTTTTTTTTTGTCTTTGAGACAGGGTTTCCCTCTGCAGTTCAGGCTAGCCTTGAGTTCACTTTATATCCCAGGCTGGTCTCGAACTTGCAAGGATCCTCCTGCCTCAGCCTCCCAAGGGCTGGGATTACAGGCATGCACCACCATGCCCGGCTTGAAAGATAATTATTTTTAAAGTTGTTTTGTTTTGTTTTGTTTTACTTTGGTAAACAGAAAACCTAACCTTTTCACCACTTTATGTTTATTTGCTTTAATAACAAAGACAGGCACTCACTATGTATTTCGGGCTGGCCTGCAGCTTACCATGGAGAGGCACTTCACGAGCACTCCCCTCCCACTCCTCCTGCCGCTATACCTTCTTGTTCTAGTACAGATAAGACTGGCAGCTGTGTCCTGTAAGCAGCGTTTACGTCATTTTGTTTGCACAGGACTCACAAGGCTCTGTCTTTTTTCAAGGCTAAATTATTAAGTGCTTCGTCTTGCTTCTGTTCCTCACTTGCCCCACCCCTGCCCACCCCTCGTTTCTAAAGACCAACCAGGCTCAGCCAAATGTGGAAAACTAGAGCCTTCCCTTTGTTCTAAGGTCCAACACTTTGGATGTGAGTTTGGCTGGGTACATGGGCGTCTAAAATCCTGGAACTAAACCCTCCTGTTATTCTCCATTGGTCTCTGATCACTTGGATTCTGCAACAACTGTGTAGCCCAGGCTGGCCTGGAACTCCCCGATCCTCCTGCCTCAGCCTCCCGCGTTCTGGGACTATATACGTGTACCACCACACCCAGCCATTTCATTCCTTTTTAAGGCTGAAGGATACTCCTTTATGGATATACCACTGTCTTTATACCATTTTCTTTACGATCTCTTCTTTTTTTCTTTTGGTACTGGGAACTGAATTCAGGACCTTGCGCTTGCCAGGCAGGCACTGTGCCGCTGAGCTACATCCCTGGCCCTTATGAGCTCTTCTTCCTGCTACCCATAGGCCCCTTCCCTTGTGGAGTTTTGGGTATTTCTTCCCAGCAACACTACAACTGAGAAGCAAGGCCAACCCTTCCCAATACTGTAAGCCCCAGCACTCTGGGAGGCTGAGGCAGGACAAGTAGAAGTCCAAGCCCAGCCTGGGCAACTTAGCAACTTAGTGAGACCCTGTCGCAAAATAAAAAAACAAAAGAGGCTGGGGATGGTGCTCAGTGTAAAAGTCCTGGGTTCAACCTCTAGTTGAACCTCTATGCTAAAAAAATAAAAACCAAACACTGGGTGTAGTGGCACAAACCTGTCATCTCAGCACTCAGGAAGCTGAGACAGGAGGATCACTGCAAGTTCAAGGCCAGCTTGGGCTACAAAGTGGGTTCAAGTCCAGCCCGAACTGACAAAAAAAAGAAGAATGTAAAGCCACAAGGATTCGGTCCTGGAATTAACTAATACTGCAGTGGGGGCCAAGGGCTTAGCCCTGCGTGGTTTTCCCCAGCCTCCTGATGCAGGCCACTGGGAGCCCCGGGCTAGTGCAGCGGATGGCCTGTGGGCTACCTGTGGCCTTTGCAAACAAGACCGACCCTACCCCAGAGCCAAAGGGGAGGCAAAGGGCAGAGTCACTCCCAGAAGTCAAGCCTGCTGAGACTACACCGCCCGCAGGAGCTGGGTTTGAATTTCCCCCGACAAATGCATGGGGTGGTTTTCTCTAAATCACTGGGCTTGCTAATTTATTTATTTTGGTTTTCTTTGTGTGCAGCAGGGGCTGGCTATGCAACCCCAGGCCGACCTTGAACTCTGCACAATCACTCCTGCTTCACAGGCCTGGGCCACCACACCCGGCCTGTTCCTGTTTGAATTTCCGTGTCACTCTGGAAGGGCCCTGCTCTGGTGAAGGGGAGCCTCACCCCGCTGACTCATTGTCTCCCCACTCTGTCTCCTCCTGTCTCTCTCGGTCCCCAGAACAAAGCCACACATGCCACCAAGCAGGGACCTCGCTGCCCCTGCCACCGCCAGAGCTGGAGACCCTCCTTCCCCGAGAGCAGGAAGGGCGCTCCGCCTCGCAAGACCTGTCCCCTGCGGTTGCAGTTGGATGAGGCTGCTCTGAGCCACACAGGCTTCCTGAGACCTGGCAGCCTTAGCACCTCCCGACAGGCCAGCCGGGACTTACGCCAGGGAAGGAGCATTTCCTCGCCATCTTGATCGGAATGTGAAGATTACTAGTGAAACTAGGGAGGAGCCTGGGGGCTTTTCTGTAAGGTCCCTTGCTGCTGCGTCTCTGAATTTGCTATTCAGAGTCCACTTATGAGTTGGATTATTCACTACCTTCTTCCTCTTGTCCTGTTTTTCCTCCGCCTCTGCTTTCTTTTTCTTTCTTTTTTTCCTTCCTTTTCTTTTTGATACAGGGTCTTGATGCAATTTAGCAGTTTAGCATTGCTAAATTACCCAGGCTGGTCTTGCGCTTGTGGTCCTCCTGCCTCAGCCTCCCAGCATGTTGGGGTTGCATGTGTGCACCACCACACCTGGCTTTATCGTTTTCTTATTGACTTGTAGACCCCTATATATTCTGGACAGCATATTTTTTCATATGTAAATAAATATGCATATACACACACATATATGCTGTATACTGCAGTTATATTTTCCTTGTATTTGTAATCTTTTTTTACGATAAACTTTATTCTGAAATAATCTGAAAGTACAAGAAGTTGCAAAAATTGTAGAGAGTTCCTGTGTACCCTTTCCCTGGCTTCCTCAGTATCTTACATAACCAAGGTACATTGTCATGCTCAATCAGGAAATTGCCATTGAGGGGCTGGG